TATAAGTTCGGCGGGGCATCCATGTCCTATGGACATATTTCTAGTTTTTTAATGTATGATATCGTATACAAGAAATTACAGAACCCCTGACTCATAAATAAACCCCCCCTCCACTTCATACAGGATACATATGAGCAGCCAAAAATGTCTTAAACGAAAATTTTGAAAAATTTTGACTTTATGGTTATGATGAAAGGTCTTAATCCTTACTTATTGTTCGTAAAAGACATTAAAAAATACCTTAAAAACTGTGAATCACTGCGAGCTCTAACGACAACGCTTGGGCGAAGAGAAAATTCGGACTACTGCACATTCATTCATTCGGTAGATTAATTTTGACTCACAATGCATCGCTTCGTACACAAAAGCTTCAACAGCGTTCTCGCGAGAATAACAACAGAGGTTAAACAAATAATAAACCTGCCTTGATTTAATGAATTTATTGCAGAAAAATAGTCAATGAAACGGTCCTTCATTAAAATTAGCCCTGTTCAGACTTCGGTTTGGTAAAGCAACATACATAAGACGTCATGTGACGTCAGGGTCTCATACGCACGGAATGTCACGTGTGGTTTGACGAGCCCGATCTAAATGAAAACTTGATAAGTATCTGCGCTCGCCCTACCGGTCGCACTGTCATCATATTATTTTAAGTATGTGGTATTGTATGATAATTTGACTGGAAGGTATCATAAATATATTTCACTATTTGATGAGAAGTGGTAGGTAAGTAAAAATGTGTCATTGTTTGATGATGAGTAGGATGGGAAGTATAATATTGAGTCAAGTATTGAGGGAAGTTGGGAGAGAAACAAAAGATTATGCCAATATTTAATGATAATAACATTGGTAGAGACAAAGGATATTTAAAAAAAAAAATATTTGTTACAAGTTTTCAATCCATCATGCCTATACCTTGCATTGTAGCAAATGATTTTCAAAAGAAGTACTCAATACCTTAATATACGGAATCGACTTTCAAATTGAATATCTAAATGTATCATCTAGGAGTTAAGTTTACTAAATGTTTAATTTTGATCCCTTAACTCTACCCATTCTTCAAATTCAAAATTCTAAAGAATATGAAAAATAATTTTTTTTTTAATATCAGAGGTAATAGAGCATGACAGAAATATGCGAAACATTTATTCAGGTTTTTTTTAAGTGGCCGGTACTTATCGTTACAATCTAATCATTAGGAGAATATAAAAAATCAATTTTGTCTTTCAAAAAAAAAATACGATTTGATACTTTTCCAATATTTATGAATGTATAATTTCGAAATTTACGTTTATAGATGACACATATAATTATTCCATGGCTCTGACATTCAATATAATGCTGCAAAGTCACAATTTCTGCTTCTTGCATTGTCTGGTGTTTTTTGTAAATTAAAGACTTTGTATGTTGACCGCTTTTCAGTACTTTGATTTTAGTTGTTGATTATTCAGATTTGGTAATTTTCAAACTTTTCACATGAGACTTTAGACTATCTGAACTTGGTCTCCTTCTTGAATACGATGAAATTGCTTGTCACAGGATCTGTTTAGACTTTCTTCTGACCTACATTTCTTGACTTACAACGTTATCAATTAAAGCAGCTTTATACAATTATCATAAAGCTCCGAGACTCGTCAATACCTCTCAAACTTTTGGAACCATTTTGGCTACCCATTTTAAGCTTTACTTTACGATTTATCGGTAAATTAATCTGTGATTATTGTGCAAGGCGAAGTATAGTTTAGTATACGCTTTTGATATTTATGCCATGAAATTTTTGCCATACATATTACTATAATCAAAGGCAATGTCATTGAATAGAACATGTATAAGCCTTTAATTCCGAAAATTTGAACGGGACCACTTTCGAATTTGAAGTATCCACAAATAGTCATCGCATGGAAGTGGAATGTAAACATTAGAACACATGCTTTTTCGCAATCAGATTCTATACTACGAATTTAAATGGAGAAGAGAGATAGATTGTGTAGTTTTATGGTGCAAAAAAATAAATGATTCTAGTGTTTAGGGATGAGGTAGAATGAATAACAATAGAAATGTGACAAAACTGTTAGACCCTTGTCTCAAAAGGTAGCGTCGCTCGGCATTGTTCAATACTTTCATGTAATATAATATACCAAAACCTGCACTTTAGATATTGTAAAATACCTATAAAACATAAATTCAAGGAATTTTGGAATTTTATTTTGCTCAAAATACCGGGTCCCAACTCTCATAGCTAAAGTGCATTTATCCTTTACTCCTTATCATATACAGTAAAACTCGTTTGATACAAATATTTTTACACATTGTAGGTAGACAATTAAGAAATGAAATCTTTATAGTCCAGCTATGTATGCTACTAAAAGATCAAAAAGATTGTGTCAATATACAAATTTATTGCTTTGCATCAGATACATGTGTATGCAAGTTAGCAGCTATATCACCATGGTAACACATGAAACATTTCCTGACTAGATGTGACAAATAATGGGTAAAAGCCGAAAAGTCACCAATTTCAAATTTAGTTCCCTTTCTTTTTATTAATAATTTCAAATTTTCAACGTAAAAATTGCTTTCTTTGCTTTTGTAGTGCTGCAAAAAGGTTATCTCAATTTTTGCCTCTTAAATCTGGTGTGCAAATGTTAAGTAGAGACAAAATGGAATGTCAGTGTTCAATAAAATGGAATGATAACAATGGAAATATAGAAAAAAAATTGTCAACAGGAAAGCAGGTGTAAAATTAACAAAAGCCTGGATAGGATTCAAACCATGTCCAGCCCTGGTCTAGCGGTCACTTTGTTACAACACAAGGATTCTCTCTCTGTCTGAATTAAAAATAAGGAATCGATTCTGGAAAAAATCACAACTATTACATTGATCGCGGAATCTTGTAGTAAATGATAAAACATGTCAAAATCTCTCTACAGCATCAGGTGTCTTACACCATAAAATGACCTATAACAGAGAGAGATAAAAATACAGGAATATTGGTATATAGATAAATATTACTAAAATCAACAGTTAGAATTGGTAAAAATTTTAATAAGTTCAAGTTAAAAAAAATCAACAACCTCTACATTAATTTTGTATAATATAAAAATGAAAACCATGAAACTGTGTGCTATGGAATGAAACAAGGATAACATATAGCTGGTGATGATGAACGAAATGTTGGTTTTCCTGTGTGTATATACATGAACGATGAGTGTGCATGCTTTGTAGCATGGTTTCTCCATCACAAACTTGTTCAACTGCTAACCTATTTTTAATGGAATATATAATCATATGAAACCTTATTTCTGTACAAAATTTACATTATATCAACAGCATGCTTCTATTTACACTTAATTTCTTGTGATTGATCACACATGCACCAACAATAGATGCTTTGTTTTATGACTACTGTTCATTGACAATGTTTTTAGCTTTATAAGCACTTTAAGAAGTTTTCTACCTCGATGATCGTGATGATCTGCATGATGACGAAAAAAAATAAGTGAAAATTACACCTCCAACTTTAACTTATAATTATGATGAAAATAAGGGATTAAGAAAATTTTTACTTTCTAAACATGCTTAAATGCCCTCTAATTGTTTTTACATCCCCCTCCAAAAAAAAACAGAAAAAAATCTTCCTTATGCAATTGCTAATTAACATATTATTAACATAACATTATCAAGCCTTTAAAATCTAGCAACTTTCATTTTTGCAATTTATGTAGATATATTACGACGTTACTTCGGAAAATATTAAATGTACACATCATAAAATTATTAAATTTCTGCACATTAATTTTCTTAACTATATGAAAGTATCACATAAAAACTATTTTAGCAAAAATATACTTCCTAATTTGTCAAAACATAAACAACAACAGTGACATGATACCGGTATGATATAATTAAACAGTGCACTTCTACGATCAGCTGACGATGAAATCCTGATTTTCTTCACGCTACGGAATCCAAATCATTAATAAAATCAAGGTCTCCCCTAAGTACACCCATACTCAAAAACTTTCCTCTGATCAAAAAAAAATGAAATCATTTGTAAATTTCTATTTACTTTCACTTTCATTTTCAAATAAATTGTCTTTTTTTACAATTTTTATCAATTTGAAAAATAAAAGAAAAAAATATTCCAAATCGTAAAAAAACATTTTTTTTATTGTTATGCCGACTCGTAATGTACGTTAACAGCAACTAGAGTGTTTCTAGCTCACGAAAAAGACTTTCTGTTCTCTTAAATCTTTACTCTCATTAGTAGAAAATTGTTCAAGTCAAGACTTCCAACAAAAATGAACACTGTATTCTCTCTATTAAAAACTAAGTTTACCCTTTATATTAAACATGAGCGACCCAAAGAGAGGGGGTATATTGCCTGCATAATGTTCATAAGCAGAAAGGGTAACTGTAAGATGCAAAAAACATTTTTAGAAATTGATGCATTTTCACTAATAGAACCGTGATAGCCTAGAACCCACTGAGGCTATGAATTTCAACAATTTGCAAGACAAACTTTTGCTCGTTATTTTTCTAGTTTTAGTTTGTCTCCTTAACACACGTAGGCGCAGCTAGGGAAAAGATTTTTAAAGAATAAATGCATTTTCACTTATACCTTAAAACAAGAACTCCTGTTCATAGGGTCCATGCATGTCACAGTTCTCATAATTTTGTAAGAGGGTTCAATGCTTATTACAATCATATATGCATTTTGACTGATCGATGTTAACATGTTGAGAAGATTTTTAAAGACTTCTTTCGTTTTGATGTTTAATATTTAATCGTTTTCAAAAAATGTAATGTATGAAAGATTACAACAGGCAAAGACAAATACATGTAACAGTACGTCAGCTGATTGTCTGGATAGATTTTAATGAAATCCATCGTTCATGCTTATCATTTTATCAATCATTTACGTCACATATTGAATAAGCAAGAAATAGGCGACACAATTTTACAATAAACTACTATTTTATAAGGAAATAACGCAATCTTTGATCTGACAAATAACAAGGACCAGGAACACCGGGTCGAGCTACAAAGATTCCATGGAGACAAAGCATACGACCAGTACTCCACTTTTTATGTCCTGGATGAAAAGAGTAAATACAGACTCACTGTGTCCGGGTATTCAGGAACCGCAGGTAGGTATATCCAGCAATTGACTTACCTAATAGTCTAATGCTGGTCAAAGATATTAAATTTATGTCATCACAAGTGGCAATTTATCAGTGCATTGAAATATTTTTAATGTTTAGCAAAAAAAGAAATGTTTAAGACTTTAAATATCAGGATTCAACCTCGTTAAGTACCAAATATTTCATATTCTGTGTCAAAGTGTATTCATTTAACATCCTCTATGTTGATTTAAGCAAATTTACCAATATTTCTTTTAAATAGGCATTAGATATTCACCTCTGCATGCAAGAAATCAAAAAAATGTTTTATATACATTGTAAATACTTCACATTCACTTATATTTTATTGCTACTTGGAATTTCCACTAAAAAATGACAATATTTTTTATCTTGCGTTTTCAATCCTTGTTACTTATTGTACCTCTTAAGCAATAAACTTCAATCTTATCAATAACCTATTTCAGGTGTCAAGTTTGACTTTTGACAATGATTCCAAATTAAGCACTAAGAATAAGAATAATGGCATGAGTAGTAGTATCCTATGTTGTAACAAAACAATGGAGACTCGAGTGATAGTCACAATTGTCCCGATAAACATTGTATTTTAAGTTTATCTATACTCTGTTCTAGGTGACAGTTTAAAGTATCACAATGGTAGTAAATTCAGCACTAAGGATCAGGATAACGACAGGAGTAGTGTTAACTGTGCTATCTACTATCAAGGGGACTGGTGGTTCAACAGCTGTTCTCATTCAAACCTTAACGGACAGAACGCCAAGTCTGCCGTGTCTTATACTAAGTGCATTGTATGGCAGAGCTGGAAGGGTAATGAAGCTCTAAAAAGGACTGTGATGATGATCAGGCACAAAAACTAAAGAATTTGATAATGCATGATAAGTCCTGAGAAGAATGCATCGGCATCGGTCGTACAATAAACCTGCAATACACGACGTCTCTTTTGATTCATTACTATCTTAAGTAAATCAACAGTTAGGTCTACATCATATTTGCACAAAACCTTCCACTGTCCCTTTGAAACTTTTAAATAATCGTCTTTAAAAGGTCAAGGAAAGTCCTATTTTTGATACCTCGACACCAGAATATAGACTCGGATCTGTGATTATGGATATTGCTTATCATGGGCTTTTTAAACCTGCACGTTTTGTAGAAGAAATTGCAGATAAAACAATCCGTCTTTTCCTTAAACTTCAATATGCCAATAAAGGAATTGACGCGGTTAATATAAGTCATATTCTTAATCACAAAAGGGTCCAGTCTTGTATTCTACTTATTTCAAGTTAAAGACTACGCCTTGTATTTCCTACAAATACACATCGACAATTGCTTCCAAACTTTTACAAAAAACTTTACATGGCCTGGATACAGAGTATCTGAAATATGATTCTCAACCGTGTTCTTCTTCACCCTATAACTATAGTCCTGCTATACACGTTATTACCGGTAACGTAAATATAGTTAATAATGAGGACCTTAGATCATTTATTTTCAAAGATCCTAAATATAGGGAACCCCGATTCTTCAACTGGCATCAGAATTTCATTGAGATTATGGATTCTGTTGAAAATTACGCCAGACGATTGGCCAGATATGAAAAAGAAGACGTTGACACCTTGTCAGAATGGATTCAATGTATGAGATCCACGTTAAAGTGACGTATTTAAAGAATGAAGGGCAATTTGAAAACTATCTGTCCTTCTGTGTTCAAGAAACCGGAAGTGAAATAAAAGAATTAGATAGATTACACGATCATTACATACTGGTCCCTGCCGACAAAGCAGGTAACAACATTGTCTACGTTTGTAAGGTTCATTGTATAAATTGTATTCTAGAAGAACTTGAATTCAATTCAAAAAGTGGTAATCCTACTTATACTCACACTTCCCTTTCTAAGGAAGAAATTTTTCAAAATCATATTTTAGTTTTGAATATTTTTAATATTGCACAGAGTCAAAATGAATTTTAACTACCTTATATATGTTGGAATCCGAAACTTCATCAGAATCCTTACAAGCAAAGATACATTGCGGGTTCAGTAAATGTTCAACCAAGCCTCTTTCGCTACTCCTCACTACGATATTGACAGTAGTGAAGGAAAAACTACAAGAGTATTATGCTGTGCAACTATATATTCAATTTGTAGTTTGAAACAGATGTGTATACTATAAAAATTCCAATGAAATCACAAGATTTTACTAAAATCAAAAGCTTAAAATTTTCCGTCTTTTCAACTTTATACACAACCACTCCCCGTGATAAATTTAAATTATTATAATATCATTGACAGCTGCTTCTTCAATAGAAATGGAACTTGTAAATTAACTAACCTGTTTATTGGTTATTTGCAAAATCATTTTTTTTTTAAAGATTCTGATTGCACAAACAATTACTCTGAAGTTGACATCAAGAAAATGCATGAATTTCTGATTGACAATTTCTATGTAGTTTTTGGAGACTAGGTCTTTCAACAATCTATTGGAATTCCCATGAAAACTAATTGAGCTCCGTTATTAACAGACCTTTTTTTGTATTAATATGAAACAGAATTTATAAAAAAAAAATCTTATGCGTGAAAAGAAGAAAACTCTTGTTGTGGGCTTCAACTCGACCTTCAGATATTCTCTGCGACGTATTGTCGATCAACAATGGTAATTTCCATTCCTACGTCGATACGATATATCCAGGAGAGATTGAGATAAAACATACCACAGAGGGTGACACGTCTGTTTCATACTTGGATATTTTACTTGAAAAAGACGTTAATGGTAACCTAACAACCAAGTAATATGATAAACGTGACGACTTTAATTTTTGTAACGTCAACTTCCCTTACTTATGCAGCAATATACCTTCATCACCTGCATACGTAGTGTATATATTTCAGATGATTCGATACGCAAGACCATGCTCTATGTATGAACAATTTCTGAAACGAGGTAAATTGTTGACAAGCAAGTTGATGAAACAAGAATATCAGCAGTCTCCTTTAAAGTAATCATTTCGAAAGTTCTATGGTCGATTCAATGACCTTGTCAGCAAATACAATTTATCATTGAGTCAAATGCTGACTGACGTTTTTCATACCAATTGTTAGTCCATGATTTATACCCTGAATTGACGGCGAATTTTTCTGTCATTTCACGATCATGACAATGAGCACACGGCGGGTGTGACTGGTCAGCAGGGGATGCTCACTCCATGGCACCTGATCCCACCTCAGATGTTTCGGAGGTCCGTGTTTGCTGTGCTCCTATTTTGTATTGTTTTATGGACTTTGATATTAAATACGAGGGTTGTCCCAAAAAGTCGTAGACAGGGAACATATTTTTTTTTTCTCTTTGCTTAATCAAATTTCTTTTCTTGTCATAGCAAAGAGTAACATTTTATGATCATGTATTTCAAGATTCATGACGATACCACATTTAATAAGAAAACCATGAAAAAATAAAGAAACTATGTAAGTGTACATCGGCGCACAAAGCAAGCGTAATTTACGTCTCTCAAAACGACATAGTCACTTTTTCTGCTTCACATGACATGGGGCTATTAACATCCAAATTAATATTTTTATAGTGAAAAACCACTCTTGACTAAGGTAATATCTTAAATTCACTACTGTCCGTTTTCTTAAGCAGATTCAAGTTTTAGTCGAAATTAATTTAGTTGATCACCTTGCATTTTAGGCAGCAGTGAATACACCTTGTTAGACGACGTTTATAGCCCAGAACGTTCTCAAATGTCTGCGTTAAACAATCAGTACTCTTTACATGCAATATTTTTTTTCGATATAGAGGAAAAAGTAAACTATCTTTGAATCTCATACTATAGAAAATTAACTTTTCTATTAAGATATAGTGTGTAATGCCCTTTCAGTACTCTTTTCACCCGTCTCTGATGAATATAAAACATACCAAAAACAATTTATTACATTTCCGTGCGCCGGGTACGCGTTCGACGACGTCATTTTCATAAATCTCAATTCGAACAACACTTTGAAAATCATGCCACCAGTTTTCTGTTTCTAATACTATCTATATGAAAATTTGACATATCATTGATATTTTGATTCTGGTGATTTAAATTTTAGTTCAATCTTTTACATACCACAATGGAAAAAAAACCCAAATGTAATAGTTATATGCGTAAATTATTCCGAAATTTGGTCGTGCGCCGACAGCCCATATTGGCCTTCATATAAATTGTCCCAATATAATTAATATGAAAGATATATATTTAAGAATTTGCAATTTTTAAGAACATTACATGTATCATGTCTATGCAGAATTTGGTTAGTATTGGTTGCGTGTTAAAAAAGTTATTAACATTGTCTACGACTTTTTGGGAAAACCCTCGTACTGTTCGTTATCCCCATGTCCTTCTTCATCCAATTAAAAAAGTGTATTCTTTTAAAAATAAATAGCATAAGGAATTATAATGTCATTTACTAATATTGGTTTTTCTTTCTTAATTGTATTGGACAGTTCTTTCTCTTGAAATATTTCAAACATTCGTATGTCTTATAAAAGGAGTTTTTAAAGGCCTTCGATATTTCATTTGGGCAGTATAACAAAGTTTTATTCAAATGTAATTTTTGTTTCTCATGAAAATGTTTCAAAAGATGTGAAGAGTGAATATGAAAATAAGTATTATGCAAAGTTGGAGGCAGGCCAAGATCTTTCTTACATTGATATGGATGGGGGGACATAAAACTTAGATGAGCTCACTTTTGATCTCAGTCTCACTTTTCCCACTATATAATCCTTTGGTAAACGTGAGACTGAGTTCAAAAGTGAGCTCGTCTAAGTTTTATTGCCCCAAGTCTAGATCGATAATTCAAATCTCCACCTGATAAGTTTGAAAAAGGGCTGCAAAAAGGGAATCAAAGATTTACATAGGTAAGACCAAAGACTTGCATGAAGCGAAATAACAAATAAGGAGAGAAAAGAGGGTATCATATCCGCTCAGTGACAAAACTAGAGAAATTTTTTTAATGTATATAATAAAAAATACAAAAAAAAAAAAATATCGTAAAAACTTAGTATTGTTTCCTATCTTTCCCATAAGATTATTTGATATGTTAATTTAGTGGAATTTGAGAATAAGCATGTTGTAAAGATGATGTGAAGTAATATTATAAGTATGTTGCATTATAAGATTATTTGGCTCTTAGGGAGCATACACATGTTTTACTATTTAACGATAAGTGGTGTCATAATAATGAGGAGGAGGAAAGGAATAATATTAAATAACTTTGGGGAGGCGGAGAGAAATACAAAAGATCAGACACTGCGTAATGATAAGGTGTGGAGAGAAACAAAGGAAAAGTTACTGTTAAATAATAAGAAGGGGAAAGAAACAATGTGGCCTTTATCATCCAAGAAATATGTTATGTCATTTTTTCGGAAAAAATATTCTATTAATAAGAAGGGGAAAGAAACAAAGGATGAGACACTGTTCTTTGATAAGGTTGTGGAAGAAACAAAAGAAAAGACACTGTTTACACTTGATCACCCGTCTTCTTTCAGTTCACAGTGAGTCTGAGCTGATATCCATAAGTTATTACAATTCGTTCGTATGAAGTTAACTTTGCTTATATTTAATGTCAATGTTAATAGAATATAAAATTGAAAAAAAAAACAAATGAATTTATGTAAATATTTTCTTGGCACCATCTAGTATAACTATCAAATACTTAACTTTTACTATCACATATTTTGCTGTGTAGTTTACTATGTTGTATTGATATTTTTCCCTAGCGGAGGTCTTGCAGATTAAGCTTTGTCGATTAGTACAGTATGTAATGCTACGCCAACTTTTCAATGTTACAAAATACATGAATCAATTCTATTCATCAAATAAACTTATAAATATATTTTCTAATACTTTGCCTCTCTCTCTCTCTCTCTCTCTCTCTCTCTCTCTCTCTCTCTCTCTCTCTCTTCAATTTAAATTACTCTGATATATATTTTGTTTAAAAAAATAAAATTAGTTTCCTTGAACGACGATGACATAAGGACTGTGTTATAAAGTAAAGAAAATGTTATTTCAAGCCAAAATAAGGAGACTCTAAAATTCATAAATCAAAATATATATTATAATTTACTAGTATATAACTTTCAAATGTATGGTGATGCATAAGAATCAATTTATCTTGCACGAAAATGGTATCACCTTTCACAGTAATGATGGGATTGCATTGGCTATTCATTATATAAAAGAAAATTTATAGTTGTACAGCGTATGGTACAGTATGAAGTCTGTAATCCAGATCAGCTTGTGTCTTGTCCTTATATCGGTTTACGCAAAAGGCGATGGAGTTCCTCCGTCATTCAAAGGTAGTATGTAATCTACACTTTTTAAAAATACTTTGATTCAATGATTCAGATTCTTAAAATAATTCTTCTCCAAAATTTATGATACTGTATCAAAGTTTTTACTTCTAAGAATAGTTTGCAGCGTGTAAATACTCAAGTCAAATTGTAATATCAAAGCTGTCATGTGTATACGTATATTTATATCATATTGATGAAAAAGGTTTACATTTCTTTCTTAACATTTTTATTAAAAAAACTTGTACATGAGACAAATAAACTATAACAAAAATATATTGTGAAAAAAAAGGCCTGAACTGCATCCTTTCTTCTGTGTTCCAGCCAGATATATATTTATTGAAAGATCAAGGTCACAGTAAAATACGAACATTTAAATCCTACTTTATTTCGTAATACATTATAAATAACTCATAGATTTTAAAACAAAATAATGTTTAACATTATTTGTAAATATTGCAGCAAAACTTCAACAACACCTTCAAAGTTCTCGTTGGTTTTGGAAACTGGCTGGATCCCGTGTTAAGACTGTACATCCTGTTTCCTTCGAAGTGAATGTCGTCTCCATATATAATGTGACGAAAATATCTAAAGGAGTATTTCAAAACGGTACATTTTGAGTATTTTTCCCAGTAATTTGTAATTAGTGATTATTCCAAAGGTACTTTGATATCAACTTCGTCAATCAAAGAATGATAAGGTTATACTACTTTCTCAATGTATTTAAATTCCTTTTGTAAAAATGTTATCATTGTTTTCCTGTACGACATATACAAGTACGTAATAATTTCACAGCCTTTAGAAATCAGCCTCGTCCTATTTTCAAGCAATACCTTTTTTTAAGAATTTGCATTACATATTCTTGTAATATACAGTGTATCAGACTCCTTTTTCAGGTAATAAGTACAGAGACTGTGCAACCATACTAAAGAAAAATCCAGGACGAAAAGGAAAGGATGGTCTATATATAATTTACCCGGATGGAAAACGAAAAAAGAGCGTATACTGTGACATGACAACAAAAGGAGGGGGCTGGACGGTAAGTTACATGTTATAGTAACATTCTTTTTGGAACGCAAACGGGTTTGTTGATAAAAGCTTTTTCATGTAAAAGAAATTCTAAGAGGTAACCTTCTTAAATTTAATTTCAGGCCATACAAAGAAGACAGGACGGGTCAACAGATTTTTACAGGACGTGGTCAGAGTATAAACAAGGATTTGGTGATCCCTCTAAAAATTACTGGATTGGTAAGATTAGTTTGTGTATAATTTGCGATATGAAGTGTCTCCTTAAATGTAAACTATGAAATCAGAACATGCCTGCTTTGGCAAAATATAATTAGGAAGTAAACGAAAAAAGGCACAAATTTTCTATTAAGTAATGCACAGACATCCCTAACGTAATATTGCAGATTTTTAAATTTGATCCATTGTGATATTTTATCCTTTTCCAATGAAATTTAAGAATAAATGAATTAGAATTTCGAAATAGAATTCAATATTTTTATTCCTTATGAAACAACTTAGTATAATATTGCATGATAAAATAAATTAATGTTAAATGCATCATAAGAACAAAATACATGTACATTTATCTAGATTTAGAAAAAAAAAACACCTCTTCGTGTTCTAAAAGCATTGCAAATAAATTGTCATTTTATTTCTACGAGTTTTATCAATTTAAAAATTAAAAGTTAAAAAAAATAATTTTAAAAAATGTTTTGACGACGACAAACTAGTAACGTACGTCAAGAACAATCAGAGACTTGCTAGCTCACGAAAAAGAAACATTTACCATTTCTCTGTTTTGTTAACAGATATTAAATCTGAATGAAAAGTACACCTGTATTCTCGTTCATAGAATTTTTCAAGTCATGACTTCCAACAAAATTGAACACTGTATTCTCTCTATTAAAAAACTAAGTTCACCTGTATATAAAAACATGAGCGACCCAAAGAGAGGAGAGTATATTGGCTGCCAAATGTTTATAAGTTGAAAAAGTATTTTTGATGCATTTTCATTGTAAGATCAATAGAGCTCCGCCATAACACCATAGACAGTTCCTTATTTTATTTGCTAAATACTTTGAAATCACTACTTTTCGAGGGAAGGGGGTATTTTTGTTGTTTTCAAGGTATGAAAAGACACACGAAACTATGACCAACACAACTGCTATTGTTCACATACATGTATATCACTACTGAAAAGTTCTTCAAACACGAAATCAAATTCTCCTGAACCAATATGTTTTCCTCAAACCACGAAAATTTGACCTTTCAAAATTATGTGATTTCACAGAACCCGGAAGCAATTTGTTGAAATTGATGCATTTCCACTAATAAAACCTTGATAGCACAGAACCCCTGACCCTGAGGCTATGAATTTCAAAAATTTGGAAGACAACTCTGGCTCGTTATTATTCTGTATTTAGATTGTCTCCTAAGCACACATAGGAGCAGGGTTATGATTTTCAAAGAATATATGCATTTTCACTTATACCCTTATTTAGGAACTCCTGTTCATTAGGCCCATGCATATAATAATTCTCATAATTTTGCAAGAGGGTTCAATGCTTATTACAATCATACAATTATTTGACTGAGAAATGTCAACATGTATAGAAGATTTTTAAAGATTACTTTAGTTTTGAAGGATGTAGACCCATCCTTAGGCCCTAGGAAAACGAAATATACATATTTTGTCAAAAGATGTTATATGCCAAAATTAATTTAATTCCTTTAGCAGATTAAAGAGAAAAGGCTGAAAATGAAAATGTTTAATTGTTTCCAAAAAATGTAATGTGTGAAGGATTACAACAGGCAAAGACAAATACATGTAGCAATTCGTCAGCTGATTGTCTCGAAAGATTTTAATAGAATCCATCGTTAATGCTTATCATTTTATCAAGCCTTTACGTCACATGTTGAATAAGCAAGAAAAAGGCGACACAATTTTACAATAACCTACTATTTTTAAGGAAATGACGCCATCTCTGATCTGACTAAGAACAAGGACCAGGAACTCCGGGTTGAGCTACAGAGGTTCAATGGAGACAAAGCATACGCTCAGTACTCCACGTTTTATGTCTTGGACGAAAGCAGTAAATACAGACTCACTGTGACGGGGTATTCAGGAACCGCAGGTAGGTATATCCATCAACTGACTTACCTAATTGTCTAATGTTTGTTAATGTTTGTCAATGAATTTAAATTAATGTCATCACAAGTGGCAAATTATCAGTACATGTACATTGAAATATTTTTAATGTTTAGCAAAAAAAATGTTTAAGACCAAATATCAGGATTCAACGTCGTTAAGTACCAAACATTTCATATTATGTGTCAAAGTGTATTCATTTAACATCCTCTATGTTGATTTACGCAACTTAACCAATATTTCTTTTAAATAGGCATTAGACATTCACCTCTGCATGCAGGAAATTTTATTTCATATACATAGTAAATACTTCACATTCACTTATATTTTATTGCTACTTGGAATTTCCACTAAAAAATGACACAATATTTTTTATCTTGATGCTTTTTCAATCCTTGTTACTAATTGTTCCTTTTCAGCAATAGACTTCAATTTTATCAATAGCCGATTTCAAGTTTTGAGGTTGATTTTGGCAAAATAATTTTTGCATATTTATCACTAAGAATAAAAATAATGACATGAGTAAAAGTAACTATGTTGTAACAAGACAATGGATACTCGAGTGGTAGTCATAATTGTCTCGATAAATATTGTTCTTTAACCTCATCAGTACAATGTACTCTGTTGTAGGTGACAGTTTAAAACGTCACAATGGTAGTAAATTCACCACTAAGGATCAGAACAATGACAGTGGCGGTAACTGTGCAAAATCATTTCACGGAGCCTGGTGGTACAACAACTGTTACAACTCAAACCTTAACGGACAGAACGCCAAGTCTGCCGTGTCTAATACTAAATGCATGGTATGGCAGGGCTGGAAGGGTAATGAAGCTCTAAAAAGGACTGCGATGATGATCAGGCACAAAAACTAAAGAATTTTATAATGCATAATAAGTCCTGAGAAAAATGCATCGGCATCGGTCGTACAATAAACCTGCAATACACGACGTCTCTTTTGATTCATTACTACCTTATGTAAATCAACAATTAGGTCTACATCATATTCGCACAAAACTCTATCACTTTGAAGCTTTTAAATAGACTTCTTGAAAAGGCTACGGAAAGTCCGATTTTTGATACCTCGACACCAGAATTTAGACTAGGATCTGTGATTATGGATATTGCTTATCATAGGCTTTCTAAACCTTTTAACAATCCGTCGTTTCCTTAAACTTCAATATGCCAATAAAGGAATTGCGTTAATTCCTTTATTGGCATATATAAAATTGGTTACTGTAAGTAATATTCTTAATCACAAAAGGGTCCTGTCTTGTATTCCACTATATTTCAAGTTAAAGACTACACCTTGTATTTCCTACAAATAAACATCGACCATTAATTCCAAACTTTTCAATTGCAAAAAATGTAACGTGGCGTGGATACAGAGTATCTGAAACATAATCCTCTATCTGAAATATGATTCTCCATCGTGTTCATGTTCTTCTTCACACTATAACTATAGTCTTGCTGGACGAGTTATTACAGGTGACGTAAATATAGTTAATAATGAGGACCTTAGATCACTTATTTTAAGGTCAGACGACACGTTCCTCAAATAAATCTTTTGTAATTCTTGGTAATATATCAAAAATTATTTGTATTTGTCATTTTCTTCTTATTTCTACATTGTTTTCTGAATGTTTTTAAATACAAGTACACCAAAAATTATGAAAAAGCCCATTCAGAATATTATCCATAAGGGTTAGAATGGTATCTTGTTCAAATTCCTAATAAGATTGTAACTACCAATACTTCAATGACAAATTCTTAGAAAAAATTATATATAAATTATTTAAATTTGAGGAACGTCTGACCTTAAAAGGTGACGGTGGAATTTCCAGATATCTGTTGAAAAAGACGTTGACACCTTGTCAGAATGGATTAATTGTATGTGATCCATGTTAAAGTCACGTATTAAAAGATAGAGGGGCAATATGAAAACCATTTATCCTTTTGTGTTCCAGAAACGGGATGCGAAAAAAAAGAATTAGATAGATTACATGATCATTACGTACTGATCCCTGCCGACAAAGCAGATAACAACATTGTCTTCGTCATTGTATAAATTGTATTCTAGAAGAACTTGAATTTAATTCTACAATTGGTAATCCTACTTATACTCGTACTTTCCTTTCTAAGGAAGAAATTCTTCAAAATCATATTTCATGCAGTTTTGAATATTTTTAATATTCCACAGAGCCAAAATGAATTTAAACTACCTTCTTTATGTTGAACTCCGAAACTTCATAGGAATCCATACAAACAAAGATACATTGCGGGTTCAGTAAATGTTCAACGAAGCCTCTTTCGTTACTCCTCACTAAGATATTGACAGTAGTGAAGGAAAAACTTTAAGAGTATTGTGCTGTGCAACTTTATATTAAAAAAGTTGTGTTAATCAGATGTGGAAAACTAAAAAATTCCAAAGACCATTTTGGACAATTTTAAATCACAAGATTTTACCAAAATCAACAGCTTAAGAACTTACAACGTTTCAACGATATACACAACTATTCCCCCCGATCAATTAAAATTTCTTGATATCATTGACAGCTGCTTCTTCAATGAAAATGGAACTTGTCAATTTACTTACCTTTTCTTTGGTTATTTGTAAAATTATTTTGTTAAAACAGATTTTGATTGCACACACAAGTACTCTGAAATTTACATCAAGAAAATGCATGAATTTCTGATTGACAATTTCTATGTGATTTTTGGAGACCAGGTCTTCCAACAATCTATTGGAATTCACATGGGATCCAATTTAGCTCGGATATTAGCAGACCTATTTTTGTATTCATATGAAGCAGAATTTATGCAAAATCTTATGCATGAAAAAAACAAAACACTTGTTGTGGCATTCAACTCGACTTTCAGATATATCGGCGACGTATTGCCAATTAACAATGTTAATTTCCATTCCTACGTCGATACGATATATCCAGGAGAGCTTGAGATAAAAGATACCACAGTGTCTGACACGTCTGTTTCATACTTGGATATTTAACTTGAAAAAGACGTTAATGGTAACCTAACAACCAAGTAATATGATAAACGTGACGACTTTAACTTTTCTTTCGTCAACTTCCCTTACTTATGCAGCAATATACCTTCATCACCTGCATGCGGAGTGTATATATCTCAGTTGATTCTCTACGCACGAGCATGCTCTACGTATGAAAAATTTCTAAAACGAGGTAAATTATTGACAAGCAAGTTGATGAAACAAGAATATCAGCAGTCTCGTTTAAAGTCATCATTTCGAAAGTTCTATGGTCGATTCAATGACCTTGTCAGCAAATACAATTTATTATTGAGTGAAATGCTAAATTCATACGAATTGTTAGTCCATGATTTATACACTTAATTGACGACGCATTTTTCCGTCATTTCACGATCATGACAATGACCACACTGTGGGTGTGAACGGTCAGCAGGGGATGCTCACTCCTCCATGGCACCTGATCCCACCTCAGATGTTTCGGAGGTCCGTGTTTGCTCTGCTCCTATTTGTATTGTTTTATGGACTTTGATATTTAATACTGTTCGTTATCTCCATATCCTTCTTCATCCAATTATAAAGTGTAGTCTAATAAAAATAAATAGCATAAACAATTATAATGGTATTAATTTATATTGGTTTTTCTTTCTAAATTTACCGTTCACGGTAGCTCAGTCGGTAGAGTGCTCGCTCCGTGATCGGGAGGTCGTGAGTTCGAATCTCGGCCGCGACTGTACTAGTCGTTCAATTTTTTAGCAACTGTTCCTTTGCAATGAGCTCGGCACTTTGAAGTGAAAGTTGCTGGTCCTTCGGATGAGACCTTAAAAACCCAGACCCCGTGTCAGCGGCAGGCGTTGGCACGATAAAGATCCCTCACTGCTCAATGGCCCTGAATGCCGAGTAAAGGTCAAAATTTGAAGCCCTTCACCGGCATACGGTGACGTCTCCATATGAGTGAAAAATTCTCGAGAGGGACGTTAAACAATATACAATCAATCAATCAATCTTTCTTAATTGTATTGGACAGTTAATTCCCTTGAGACATTTGTAACATTTCTATGTCTTATGAAAGGAGTTTTAAAGGGCTTTCGATATTTCATTTGGGCAGTACAACAATTTTTTTTTCAAATGTTATTTTTGTCTGTTATAAGAATGTTTTCAAAAGACGTGAAGAGTGATTTTCTTACATAGATCTGGCTTGGGGGCAATAAAACTTAGATGAGCTTACTTTTGATCTCAGTCTCACTTTTCCCACTGTATACAATATACAATCAATCCTTGAATTCAAAAGTCAACACGTCTAAGTTTTATTGCCGCCTGGCCAGATCGATAGTTCAAATCATCCCCTTTTAAGTTTGAAAAGGGGCAGCAAAAGGGAATCAATGATTTACACAGGTAAGCTCAAAGACTTGAGTGAAGCGAAATAATAAAGAAGAGAAGGGGAATCGAATCAGCTCAGTGACAAAACAAGAGAAATTTTGTTTTTTTAATGTATAATATAGTATAGTACGAGGGTTGTCCCGTAAAATCTTGGACAAAGCGTTTTTCTCGGAAAGTAATGGGCGCAATAGGCTGAAATTTTCAGTAAATATTTGTTCATCATATTTGAGTGTATCATAATGTTTTTGATGATATATATGCAAAAATAAAGATTTTATTCTGCTTGAATATGCCCAGGGTACGGTCCTACGGCGCACGGTAAAAATAACTAGGTTTTATTAGAGAATATACAAGTATTATTTCGTAATAAAAGTTTTCAATACATAAGATTAGGATGAAAATTGTCCTAATTAGATTCCTTAATTAATTTTCTCGTCTTTTTGAAATTTTCAAGGCATTTTTGGCATTTTCCCGAACATTCGAAATGGGAAAGTGATAAACACAATACACGAAAAATGGCGACGTTTAATGACGTTACGGCGCACCGGAGAACAGTTAAGTTAGATTAGGATGTTGTAATGACACCTTAAGAGACTTTAAATAAATACAGAGGAAAGAAAATATGACAAATATCACCAGATCTTGAAAATATAAAATGAAATGGAAGTTTTCTTAGCGAAGTTATCTTGATCGAGTCCCCAGGCAGTACAAAACATACGGACAGACTGCCATTGTAGTAGCAAAAGACGCTGTCACTGTCGACCGTCGATATGAGATTCTCTGTTAGTTGAATGATGGTGAGAATACTGTCCGTAACTTGCTAATAAATCTTCAGTAGATCTCACGAGTGTGCCACATTGTTTCCTTAACTTAACTCACGTATGTAAATCAGTAAAATTTCTAAATTTAAGTGGGGCTTATCCAACTTAATTTTTAGCAAACATGAAAGGTGACGTTGTTTTAGACAACTTGACGTTATAATCCGTGCTCCGTAGGGCGATACAGTACATAACATAAAATATCAAAATTTATTTATTTATGCATATATTTATTTGAAATTTGCTACATATATTCATTTTATAAGTACTAAAGAGTAGTGAAAATTTCAGAACGCAGTGATGATTATTTTTCAAATTAGACAACTTGTCCACGATTTTACGGGACAACCCTCGTATAGTATATAGAAGAAAATATAAAATCCCTGACTCATATATCCCCGACCACTTCCTACAGGTTAGATAGGTAAAGCCAAAAATGTCTTAAACGACAATTTAGAAATATTTTGACTTTCATGCTTACGATAAAAGGACTTAATCCTTACTTACTGTTTGTAAAAGACGTTGTAAAATATAAGGCTCGGGGTATCTAACTGTTTACACGCAAGGCAGTTTTTTAGCATTCCCAGTGTTTCTTTGCTCTCAGTAGAATCCAGTGGTTTTAAAATTTAGCACCAACGTTAAACTTATTTACTGTGTAGTTGCGGACACCGGTTTCCTGCATATAATAAAAATTTTTAATTAAAATAAAAAGTGAAATCTACCCTCCTTCTCAGTTCTAACCTAATTAAATATTTATACTCGGTGGTTCCCTTCGTGCTTAGTAACACAAATAAGATGATCAATTGTTGCATTTACTTGTAAAAATATATATATTTACACAGGAAGCGAAAATGTGAGAACACAAAAAAACATGACATTAAATTTTCTTCTTCATAATAATCGTCAAAGAGAGTTAAAACTATTGAATATAGTCTGTTCCCCTTTCATTTGACCTTGTTATTTCAGGTAGAGTGAAGGCATTCTCTTTCTCTTGGTTAAGACTTTTTTGTGTACAAAACAATGTAAAGAACCCTTTTGAGCAGCCTATATGACATTCCTATAAACGATAACTCATAAATCGGCACTAAGTTGGTCATTTTTCACACCTGAGTTACTTGTCCTTAAACACAACATCGGAAAAGTCAATTATAAATAATTAAAATTTTTAATGATGTAATTAAAAGTATGCATAAGTTATTATCTTTTTTGATAATTTCATGTACCTATAAATCTATCTATACAATGTTTTTTACCATATGTGCAACTTGAAAAATTAGTTGAAATGCCTAAATGGGCTTTCTTAAGAAATAAAGGAGAAAATATATGTATATATATATATATATATATATATATATATATATATATATATATATATATATATATATATATATATATATATATATATATATATATAAAGCACTAAAATGACCAACGACACGAACAATAAAAATTGTCAAATTTTCGGGACGACCTGTCCCTTCCTCAGGACAAAGAAAAAAGTTAAAGAGTCATAAGAACAAAGGGAAAAAGAGAAGAAACAAACAAAGAACAACTAGCACTACTACTAAGCTACTAAACACTATATATTTACATACATCACATGTTGAATTGGAAATTTTTATGAACACTATTAAGAAAGAAATCCGGACCGCTAAGAAATGCGTCCGGTCTATCGGGTATGCTCGGGTGAAGTGCGATTTACATAATGGAACGAATTAATTATGCTAATTAATCACGACAATCAGTAAATCGTACATTGTTTCATTCTCTCAATATGGCGTTACTATACTTGATAAGGAATAATCAAAGAAAAATAATACAGCAGCGATATTTTAAAATATGAATTATGATCTATTATAAATTTTGAATTTTGAAATATTATAGGACTTTAAAGAAATTTTTAAGAACACTATAATTAAAGAAATAAATCCGGAGCGCCATGAAATACGTGCGGTCTATCGGGTATACTCGGGTGAAGTGCGATTTACGTAATTGAACGAATTAATTATGCTAATTAATTACGACAATCAGTAAATCGTACATTGTTTCATTCTCTCAATATGGCATAACTATACTTGATAAAGAATAATCAAAAAGAATGATACAGCAGGGATATTTTAAAATATGAATTATGATCTATTATAAATTTCTAAATATTTTAGGACTTATTAACGGGAAAAAATAAATAGCGAAGGCGTAAACAATTCATAGTTATGTGGGTTGTTCGAGAGTTGGTGACGCAAATTAACTGTAGAGTTAACACTAATTTGAGAGAATAATCCTGTTTAGTATCTTCAGGAATTGGGTCTAGTTTACGTTCATTCTGGTGAAGTCATTCAGTTTGTTAACTAAATGCCATTAGGGCGGAATGACTTCAGTCTGTGCATCCAGAACTTTTCCTTGCTTTTTCTTTGAGCGTCTGTCCATCTTGGGTTATGGTCAATCACCACTACTGTCATGTCTTCCCATTTGTGACCCTCAAGGTTGAAATGTTCCCCGACAGGTTCTTTGAGTTTTTTGGTTCTAATGGTCGAACGGTGGTTATTGACATACTGACAACTGCATTTATCTCATCAGTTGCAAAGTTTGCTCCAAGCAGTATGTTGGTGAAACAGGAAATCTCCGCAGGAGAGTCAATAACCACCGTTGGACCATTAGAACCAAAAAACTCTACTGTTAATATCTTAGCGAGGAGTAAAGAAAGAGACCTAGTTGAACATTTACAGGAACCTGCAATGTATCTTTGTTTGTAATGATTCTTATGTAGTTTTGGTAGTTCCAAATCATTTTGGTTTTTGTGTGTGTGTTGGGGGGTGGGGGTGGAGGGTATTAAAGATATTCAAAATTGACATACGATTTTAAATTTCTGCCTTATAATGGAAACTATGAGTATAAGTTGGATTAATTCTCGGGGAGTAATACCAGAATATTTGTCCCTCGGTGACAGAAAAGACCTGGAGTGTTATGTCGCCCGATGCCGTATCATGCTTTTTCATATGCTAATATTTTAATACCCATGAGTTGTGGCATTTTTTTTTCGACAGCGTCCAAACCCGCATGCCCTGAAGAGTAAAGGGGTTTCGGGATAAACAGAAGGTTAATGTTTTTTTTCACATTAACAATATCCGCCAGATCTTTTACCTTTTGACTTGCTTCTATTTCCAAAACTTGAAAAAACACCTTTCAGAAGGAAGAAACAAGTCCAGGAAATCATTGGATCTGCCGTTTTCCAGTAAAGGTCATACCCAAAAATGAGTTCTCAAAACAATCAGAAATTGGATAAAAAAGTTACGGACATATGTTTTATTTAAAAGAGATAAATAAAAAAATCAGATGAAGACTAAATCATTTAAAAGCGTCTTTTGCTACTCTCTAAGTACCGAGGTCATTATTTAGTGAACAGCCCTCGTATGTTGTTTAACGTCCCTCTAAATTAATAAATATCTATTAATTTTGAAAACAATATAGATTTAATAATCAAGCGATTTTTATGCAGTACTTAGTTAAATAAGGAATCTTTTAAGATAAAATTGACTGCTGAGTAACGTAGGGGAATTATTTCCTGTGTAGTGAGTGAAAAGGTTTGTCTAAATCTTAATCTTATGAGTTTTGTGTGTGATGTTGCTAAAAAAAATGAGGATTTTAAAAAGATTTATTTCACCTTAAAATACAAAATACAAACATTCGAATCCTGATTAATTAAATTATTCTTATTAAATAACCAATGACTTTTTTTTTAAAAAATGATTTTTAAAATATGTCTTGCAAAAATTGTAGCACAACTTTATCAACATCTGCAGAGTTCTGGCTGGTCTTGGAAGCTGATTGGATCCAATGTTATAATAAAGGCCGTGCATCCTTTTTCCTTGAAAATGGATGTTGTCTCTACATATGAGGGGCATTCAAAAAGTTCGTACACTTTTGTCCTAACTTTTTTATTTCGCTTCATATTATATCCAAATTTGGTACACATACAGTCAAAACTGCCATAGCCACCCACTGTATTAAGCGACTCACTGTCACATGTGACCATAAAAATCCCCCAATGCTTTTCCCTATATATTTTACCTGTATTAAACGACCACCTATCTAACGCGACCAAAGACCTTGAATTTCCTGACCTTTTTATGTAATTTCAAGCAATTTCACCTGAATTTAACGACAACATAATTTCCGATTCCTACTCTCGATTTCAGTCAGGCATGCCAAGTCATTGGTTCAAAACAACTACAGACATACTTTTATTTCATTTAATAATTATATAATGCGAATAAAACAACATTAGAATATAAATATTTTTACTTACTCTTTGATACTTATTGAATAAACATTAAAATCTAAAACATATACATCACGTTTTTGTCCGTCCAGTGATCGAGCGCCATTTTGAAAAAAGACGTTCGAGGTCGATCCCGATGTCATTTCATGCTAAGGGCTTTTGAGGACCAAATAGATATTCAGCATTAAAACCTGCCTTTTAAGTTTAATTAACAAGTAACTAAACATTGGATGTTTATTTAAGTGCATTGTGTCACCAACGGTAGAAGGTGAATACAGGCTAGCTAGCACCCACACCAGGTGATTATTGAGGTGATTGAGATACCTGGTCATAAACAGGCAATTAGACACGGTAGTTCAGTAATGAAAAAAAATAATTAGGTTAAAGATTTTAGTCATGATATAACTTGATACTAAGTACATAACAAAAAATCATGATAGAGTTTTAATGCATAGTAAAATGCAAAACATACGAAGTTATATATAGGCTATCATGTTAAAAAAAACTATTATTAGGAAAAAAATCTGCAGCTTTTTTATACTGTATGAAAAAAATGTTCTTTTAAAGTTGTATATTTTGTTGTGTACCACAGGTAGGTGCTTATATTCCATCTTCATCAGTGGAACAATTTATTTTTATTCTGTCGTGCCATAACATAAATTCCTTATTAACATCTTTTTCTCGCAAGACATATAATAGTACTCAATAATTTTCCAGCTTGAAGAAATATCAGTTATGTGATTTACAGTATTTAGACTTGCTTTCAGTCAATAGATACAAAGATTGTGTAGCCATACTAAAGAAAAACCCAGGTCGGAATGGAAAAGATGGTGTATATACAATTTATCCGGATGGAAAAGGGAAGAAGAAAGTGTATTGTGACATGACAACAGACGGAGGGGGATGGACGGTGAGGGATAAAGACTGAAATTAGTTCTTGTCAACAAAGAGCATGTAAAATAAAACTTAATACATGTAAGAGGAACATCTTCTTTGATGACGCATGCCAGCGTTTGTGAATGAAACCTGCTTCATGTCAGAGCAGATCTATGAGACAACCTTCTTAAATGTTTCAGGCAATACAAAGAAGACAGGACGGGTCTGCAGACTTTTACAGGACATGGTCAGAATATAAACAAGGCTTTGGGGATCCCTCTAAAAACTACTGGATTGGTAAGTTAAGTTAAATATGTAACATTTACAGTGTAAGGTGTTTCTCTAAATATAGTGTCGGAATATAAACAAGGATTTGGGGATCCCTCTATAAACTACTGGATTAGTAAGATTATTTTATGTCACCCTTGAATATAAAATATCTCTTTAAATGTGTGTACAAAATCAAATTGACATTTTAAGGTCTCTATCCATACTCTTAGAAATTTTCCTTATCTACTCACAGTGCATTTACCCTAAAGCAAATCGTTTGCGCTCTTTACATTCATGTCAGTGTGTTTTAGAATGCGACGCTTGTTCCATCGATATTTAAAACAAAAACAAAGAATTTAAATTCCTCTATTGAAATGAATAATTTAATTTTTACAGGTAAAATAATTAATTTATGTTTCATTGGGCATGAAACTGAACACAAAACGATATCAACTTTATTTTTATAATGATATATTTAATTCTAGAATTATAATTCTTTAATTAGTCCTCGTAAATTAGACAGTGGTTTGGCGAAAACTCTATTTATTCAATTTGGTTTTTCTTAAGATTTTATAGAGCAATAACCACAATTCATGAGAATTTTTTCTCGCTTTTAAAGAATTAATAAAAATCACGCAAAAATAAGGTGTAACGAAAATTTTCTAATCTTACGTAGTTTATCAAATTAAAAAAAATCCTTGTTAGTTTTTTTTTACCCTTTTCCTCAAGACCCCTGCCCTCTGGAAATCTTCCTTGATCTGTGCATGTAAATCAGTAGCCCATCTGTATTTTAATATAATATAATTAATCTGTGTTTCAGGAGAATCGACGTAAAAAATTTTTGCTTTAAAATAGAGCCGATAAAAATGTCTCTATTTTTAAAGTTTGTAATATCCTTAAAAGGAATATATTTTTTATGGAAAAGGAAAAGCTTTTCCACAAATAAACAAAAGAATTCCTAGATAGAATTATACTTTATAATCTCTTATTTTTGAAACATTAAATGTTCTCAGTATGATGAAACTTTTGGTTTATAATGCAAGAGACCCATTAATAAATTTCGAAGTGAAATTCTTTCTCTTGATTAGAAATTTAGTATAAAATCATAACCTTAGTGAACGCATTCCATTCAACAAGCAGTTTGGAATTTGTGTGAAAGATTATGTTTCTTGTTTTAAATACAAAATAATGATTAATGCAAACCTCTGAAAAGGAAAATATTTATTCACGTGATGCCTGAATTAAGTATAGGAACTTATATTAAATACGACAATTTGAAATTTGAGATCTCTCGATGACAAAGACCTTTTTTTCAAGAACACGGTGAACTGAAGCAGATATTAAACTACACTTTAAAATTCAAAAATATAACTGTGCACTGTTACATCTTTTAATAAAAGGAAATGACGTAATCTTTGAACTGACAAAGAACAAGGACCAGGAACTCCGGATTGAACTACAAAGATTTAATGGCGCTGAAGCATATGCTCAGTATTCTACATTTCATATCGGAGATAAATACAATCAATACAAACTCATTGTGTCGGGGTATTCAGGAACTGCAGGTACGAGCATTTATATCATTTTACACATTTTATAATGTTACATGATGTACAATTGCCAAGTTATTTAGTTTCATTGAAATATTTTCAATTATAGAAAACATATCATGCAAGAATTTAGTCCAATATTTAGTTTCTCATCATCTATATAAGTTTGTTTTGTTTTCTTTAAGCCAAAGGCTCATCATATCATCTTACACTATCATAAAATGGGCATTTGATATAAAATGAAATTCATCTTCAATATCATTAAATTCAATATCATTAAAATGCAGATTTTGCAAACTCTTTGAGCTCTTAATGTATTATTATATCTACCGGTTTCATTTTTTAATTGGCAATTTCACCTTGGTTAGCATTCCTTGACATTTTTTATCAATAGGCTTTGTTGAATATGTTTGTAATGCAGAATTATTCACAAGATGCTGGTACAGTTGTCCTTTTGAAGAAGAAGATACAATTGAAATATATTTTGTCTATAAACATCAGTAATTCTTTGCTCTATTTATTTTGAATATTTACAATTCTTAAGAATGTTATAGTCCAATAAATAGCTCAGACCTATGCTTCCCAACTCTTCTTTGATACACATAATCCATTGGAACATATGGAGATAACGATCTGTATAACAGGCACTGAGTATACATGTACAATTATCATACCTTCTTAACCATGTTAACTTAAACTAATATTTAAAAAAAATTAATTTTAGTGCTAGTAGATATCTACCCAACTCACAACTTCTATAACTATCAAAAACAGATAACTGTGTTACAAGTCAAATGCATGTGATTTTAATGATTTACAAAAAGCAAATAAGCTTGATTACCTTGAGATGCAGTGTGTTTTTGAGTTTTCAAAAACTTTTCGTTGTAAATAGCTTTTAAATTCATCAACAATATGAACAATTTATTACTATAAATCCATTTTTCATCCTCTCTGATCTTCCATCCGTTTCTGAATATAATTAGTTTTTTTTTTCTTTTGTATATTAACTTTTAGATTCCAAATACTGTAAATCAACATTTATTCGCGACGACTTTATTTCGCGATTTACCGGGGATAAACTAGTTTGCAGCGGTTAATTTTACATTGACAATTTTTTATTTAGGTTACTTTTTAATAGACACATAGACTTAAAGAACCGGTTCGCTTCCAGAAATATATGCGATGAAAATTTTCGCAAACAAGCGAAAATTTTACACTTTTTATAATAAAAGTTGAATAATTTTTACAGTACATAATTACATAATGGATTTAACACTTGCTGTAAACCCTCTGGGCTTTCTGACATAATCACAATACCGTCTGCATAAATAAGAAGGAACAAACTTATTGTCTTTACATTGACAATTTTTTCTTTAACAAACTGCATTTTAAAAGCATTCATGTATAATGAGAACAATAAAAAAGAGAGTATTTCACCCTCCATTCATCCCATATTACTAGTAAAATTTTCACTAAACAAGCCATCACATTTTACACTTTTTATACTATGATACAATGCTTGAATAATTTTTAACATTTTCCCTTGTATACAAATATTAGATATTTTTCTCTACAGTTTATTCCTATCTATAAAGTCAAAGGCTTTATGATAATCGATGAAAAACAGCAGTATAAACGCTTTTTCGTGCTTAAATATTTGTTAATAAGTGACTGATATACCAATATCGGGTCAACAGTTGACAACCCTTTTTTAAAACTAAACTGTGCATCATACTATATACGTATACCTTAGGTGTTTTCTCAACGATTCTATTATTAAAAAATTGTAGTAAATAATTTTCCAAAAGAACTCAAAATAGTTATTCCTCTATACTTTTCTGTATTATCGACAACCCCCTTCTTGAACCCTGGGACCATGGAACCCTTTGTCCAAGATTCGGGATAGCACCGGCTTTGAAAAATATTATAGAATAGTGTATGTAGAACTGGAAACAGAATTATTTTACAACTAATAAAAATCTCATTCAGGATATAATCCTCTAAAATATTTTGATAGTGAGCGCAATTCGCGACGCTCGTCACTGCGAGCTCTCAAAGCAAGGAATGGGCGAAGAGAAAATTCAGACTTTGCACATTGATCCAAACGAATTTTTTCCGCAGTTACTCTGGACCCACAATGCATCGCTTGTTAAACTACATTCTCGCGAGAATAACGACAAAAGTTCAACAAAAGTTAACTCGCCTTGATTTGATGGATATTTATTGAAGATAAATAATAAATGAATCGTTCTTCATTAACTTTTTAGTACTGTTCAGGCTTCCTTTTGGTAATGCAACTTACATACGACGTCAAAGTCTAGACGCACCAAATGTCACGTGCGGTTTGACAAGCCAGATCTAAAATAAAATAACAAAGGGCGTGGTATCTGCAAACTTGAATCCCCTTTAACGATCGCACCATAAAATTTTGTCGTTAGATTACATTAACGTCTTTTAAAATATTATGTTCATACATGAAACAGATGTGTCAGTCCCTTCTTCTTTTCACGTATAAGAAATTGGATATAAATACAAAAATAGGTCTACTAATAAAGGGGGTAATCTGGACCAGTGGGTGTTCCAATTGATTGTTGGAAGACCTGCTCTCTATAAACCACATAGATATTGTCAATCAGAAACTAAAGCATCTTTTTATTATCAACTTCAAAGTACTTTTGTACACAATCAGATTGCTTTTTAACAAAGTAATTTTGTACAAATGGCCAATGACAAATTAAGTAAATTCTCGAGTTCCATTTTTATTTAAAAAAAGCAGCTGTCGATAATGTCAAACAGGATGGACTTGAATTTATCGTAGGGAATAATTGTATATAAGGTTAAAATGTCGTAAGGTTTTATGTCGTTTATCTTGGTAAAATTGTGTGATTTGAAATTTTCCAAAACGTTCCTTGGTATTTTTCTTAGTATCCACATCTGATTTACACCACCTCTCGATTAATACCACTTCTCGAATATGTATTGCACAGTAGTCATGATTTTGTCCCTTCACAACTGTTAATATTTCATAAAAGAGTAAACAAAGGCTTAGTTGAACATTTACCGAAAAACTCTATTTATCTTGCTTGCTTGTTGTTTAACGTCCCTCTAGATAATTTTTCACTAATATGGAGACGCCACCACTTGCCGGTGGAGAGCTGCAAATTTTGACCTGTGTTCGGCACTCAGGGCCATTGAGCGGCGAGGGATATTTTTCGTTCCAGCACCTACTGCGAAACGGGACCTACAATCTCATCCGAGGGACCGGTCTCGACGTCCCACAGTGGGATTCGAAACTGCAACGTAAAGATCAACTTTTGATTTTTTTACGTTTTGGAATTCAATTCTGATCCATGATGGTCCTTTTTCCTGACTTATTTTTTTTGACCAACTTTTGCCAAAAAAAACCCCTCAAACTTTAACCTTTTTTGGAACATTTGACTTTGACCTTAGAGTGTGACCCACTGTTGAAAAACTTTATCCTTAGCCATAACTTTTTAACTGGAAGTAGTGAAAGTTCATTTTTCACATGTGTATTCCTTGTAACAAGACTTTCCTGTGGACACAATTTTGACTTTAACTTCTATTTTTGCCATAAGCTTACATAGGGGAACATCAGTGTATCATAAACAAATCTTGTTTTGATCTGTAATTGATAAACAATAAATTTATATATTACCAATTATCTTTTCAAGGAGACAGTTTGAAATATCACAATGGATTGAAATTTACAACAAAGGATCATGACAATGACGATGCTAGAAGAAGTAACTGTGCTATATCATCTCACGGAGCCTGGTGGTACAACCACCGTTATCGCTCAAACCTTAATGGACTGTATGCACAGTCTGCTGTGTCTCATGGTACATACCCGGTATGGTGGGATTGGAGGAGATTTGAGGCGCTACAGAAGACTGTGATGATGATCAGACACAAACACTAGAGGCGTTACAGAAGACTGTGATGATGATCAGACACAAACACTAGAGGCGTTACAGAAGACTGTGATGATGATCAGACACAAACACTAGAGGCGTTACAGAAGATTGTGATGATGATCAGACACAAACACTAGAGGCGTTACAGAAGATTGTGATGATGATCAGACACAAACACTAGAGGCGTTACAGAAGACTGTGATGATGATCAGACACAAACACTAGAGGCGTTACAGAAGACTGTGATGATGATCAGACACAAACACTAGAGGCGTTACAGAAGACTGTGATGATGATCAGACACAAACACTAGAGGCGTTACAGAAGACTGTGATGATGATCAGACACAAACACTAGAGGCGTTACAGAAGACTGTGATGATGATCAGACACAAACACTAGAGGCGTTACAGAAGACTGTGATGATGATCAGACACAAACACTAGAGGCGTTACAGAAGACTGTGATGATGATCAGACACAAACACTAGAGGCGTTACAGAAGACTGTGATGATGATCAGACACAAACACTAGAGGCGTTACAGAAGACTGTGATGATGATCAGACACAAACACTAGAGGCGTTACAGAAGACTGTGATGATGATCAGACACAAACACTAGAGGCGTTACAGAAGACTGTGATGATGATCAGACACAAACACTAGAGGCGTTACAGAAGACTGTGATGATGATCAGACACAAACACTAGAGGCGTTACAGAAGACTGTGATGATGATCAGACACAAACACTAGAGGCGTTACAGAAGACTGTGATGATGATCAGACACAAACACTAGAGGCGTTACAGAAGACTGTGATGATGATCAGACACAAACACTAGAGGCGTTACAGAAGACTGTGATGATGATCAGACACAAACACTAGAGGCGTTACAGGCGTTACAGAAGACTGTGATGATGATCAGACACAAACACTAGAGGCGTTACAGAAGACTGTGATGATGATCAGACACAAACACTAGAGGCGTTACAGAAGACTGTGATGATGATCAGACACAAACACTAGAGGCGTTACAGAAGACTGTGATGATGATCAGACACAAACACTAGAGGCGTTACA